TTGGCAAGTACATAAATTAATTTGTCTTTGAGTATACATCCCTTAAATTCATATTCACCTTATAAAGGTAAAGGGACCCCTGACCATTAGGTCCAGTTGTGACCGACTCTGGGGTTGTGGCGCTCATCTGGCTTTATTGGCCGAGGGAGCCGGCGTACAGCTTCTGGGTCATGTGGCCAGCATGACTAAGCTGCTTCTGGTGAACCAGAGCAGTGCACGGAAATGCTATTTACCTTCCCGCCGGAGTGGTACCTATTTATCTTCTTGCACTTTGACATGCTTTCAAACTGCTAGGTTGGCAGGAGCAGGGACCAAGCAAAGGGAGCTCACCCCATCGTGGGGATTCGAACCGCCGACCTTCTGGTCGGCAAGTCCTAGGCTCTGTGGTTTAGGCCACAGCGCCACATGCATCCCTATATTTATATTCACCTTATATTTATTATTAAATTCAATAAATTTTAATTTATAAACAGAGATATGGGATGAAAGGAGAAGAATAACTGTATATGCTTAAGTAAGGCTTCTCTTTAATAAATCAGTATTTATATAAGAAATTGTGAATTGCTCTTAATGGAAAATTGTATTAGGCTCTTCAGCATATAAAATTAAATACTGCAGTCGAGGTTAAAGAGCTGTGAAGGCCTTTCCTTTCTGTCTCAATTCTCAATAAATATCTTTTTCAGGAACTCTTTAGCATAACCAATGGAAGACTCCAGTTTGTTACCATATTGTGAATATTTGATCTCCCATATTGGGAGATGATGAAAAATTAATTGGTCCAGATGTGTCCATCCTGGCAATCGACAGATGTTCATTTTACACATCATTTAGGAATTCCCAGTGCAGCTGACTGTGAGATGATTAAAAAAAAATACCTGATAGAAATTTGGCATGGTTTGCTTGTGTGCGCATATGTGTGCTTGTTCCATTTTTATTTTATTTTATTTTATTTGCAAAATGTTGGAAGACATGGATATGGTCAGTTTGGTAGGTTCTGGTTACCAACTCTCCTGGCTCCCGCTCTTGGAAAAAGACTCCAACTCTCGGCTCAGGAAATCTCGACAGCTTTATTGATAAAATCAGCATATACCGTATTTTTTGCTCTATAAGAATCACTTTTTCCCTTCTAAAAAGTAAGGGGAAATGTGTGTGTGTCTTATGGAGCGAATGCAGGCTGCACAGCTTTCACTGCACAGCGATCCCTCTTGCTGTTCTGGCTTCTGAGATTCAGAATATTTTTTTTCTTGTTTTCCTCCTCCAAAAACTAGGTGCGTCTTGTGGTCTGGTGCGTCTTATAGAGCGAAAAGGTAGTCTTAGCACCAGTTCATATGCAGACTTCTAGGATACGATTCTAGGCACAAGCAAATATATTGTGCCAACTCTTCCACATCTCTGGGCAAGTGAAAAGCTTGAGTACTCCTGCTGGGAAGGGAGAGGACTCAGGTTTGTTCACCACAGTCCAGACAGTGGAACGTCCGTTGTGATGGAGCCAAATCTACCTCTTCAGCTACCCTTTGAACTTTTTTCTGAAGAGGCAGAGCATGGACTGAACTGGCTAATGTTCCTTATAGGAACACCCAGCAATATTGTTTTTGGGAGGGGGTGCCCCATCAATGTCAAAACTTTTCCCACCTCCAACCTCGGAGTCCTCCTCCCATTCCCACCCCATACATGAGCACTGACACCAACCACAATCCAGGGATAGAATCACTGGTAGACAAAAAGAGGTGGAAACTCCAGGTATTAGACATGAGATTTATCCTCTGCTGCCTTGGGAACATGTTTCTAGTAGTAATTCTCAAATTCAAGGGGCAGGGGACATTATAGTGACCCCCCATGCCTGTGAGAATTGCTGTTCAAAATGTGCCCCTCAAGATAGATATTTTCCAAAAATGCATGTGGAAATGCTTTATGGTTTGTTCCAGTGACTGACCGTACACTTCAAACCCCAAACTGTATCCTCAAGTGGTACCAAAGCAGGGACAGCTCTACCATTAGGCAGAGTATGGTGGCTGCCTCAGGTGGCAGATGCTATGGGGTGGAAATGATATTTTGGAGGATAGAGTTGTGTGTCCCACATGACCTGCTGCCATGCACTCCCTTAAGTTCACCAACTATCCTCATGTACAGTGGAGGATGCTGTCCTGTCACCAGTGTTGAAGTAAAAAATAAATTACCAGTCTGTCCAGCTTCTGTACATGGAATAAGGAAGTGCCAGCCCTGCATGAGGGTTGCTTGAAGAATTCAGGATTGGTTTTTTGGGGGAGAGATTACTATTAGTATTTTAATATATCATTTCTTTTCCTTTGTTTTATTTCCTTTCTTTAATACGTTCCCCACTTCCTCTTCTTTGCCAAATTTTCAAAAAAAGATAAATATTTTCAAAGAAATTTTGTTTCAAAATATGTATTGGAATGCACATTTCATGCAGATCTTAATGTATATTTAATTCATATGAATGCAGGAACACTGGATTTATGGGTGAGCGCATGCCGAAGTAACATGAACTGGACTGATTCACCCATCCTAAATGATGCTATCTGTGGAGACGTGTAGAACGCAGTTACTGAATATGTAGCTTGGCTCTGACTGACATCCAAAACAATGGTTGCTCCAGGAATGCTTGTCTATTTCAAAATTATTTCTTCTTCATCTCTATTGTACTTGTCCAATGTGGCACTTAATGCTTTAGAGCTATATAGAGATAGACTCTCTCTGTCAGTCCACAGTTGTCAGGTCTGGAGAAGGTTTTACTGCCAAGCAGAACCATGCAATGCCCCAGTGTTTAAAAAAGATATCTCACTCCATCATCAAAACTTTATAGGCTCTGTGTATGTTTACTTGCAAAGCAATGACATCCACCAGAACAGGTAAATGAAAGAGAGAGAGATGGCAAAGTGTCACCCAACTGGGGTCGATTTATCTTCTGACATTTAGCTAAGGAGGATTGCTCATGTCTTTATGTGCACCATTTTCCACATACAAATTTACAATTGCAGAACAACATTTATGGCCATAAAGAGAATCTGCTGTGGTCATGTCTATCCCACAATTTCTCAGGCTTCCTTGGGGATAACAGTGACAGTTTAACTGGTTTAAAATGGGTTTGCATTTGCAGCATAAACGCACCTGAAGGATGCTAAGAGGGTTGAAATCTTGCATTGTGTTTGTCCAACATGTAGATCACACATCCTGTCTTGTTCCTAAACGTGCATGATGAGGAGGGTGGGTTAAACTCCAGGCTCATCTATATCACTGCTAGTAATATGACTGGGTTAATCTATTTTCCATCTCTGTCACTTTTACATGGGCTCATTCACAAATCAATTTCTGCATTAATCTCTATTTTTTTTAAAAAAATGTATAAAGCATCATATTTAAATACTTAAATGCATATTTTATCACAAATTAGGCACTTAACACACATATTTTCTCAGTGCAAACTTTTTAAAGCATCTGTTATAAAGCTTGTGGGTTTTTTTTGTTGTTTTTTGTATTAGATGAGAACTGTATCACAAAATTCAGAGAAGTGCAAAATCCTAAGCATAATTGCTTTCCAATGTGTGTATCGGTCCAGGAGGTGTGAATTTTAACGTTTGCAGAGCAAACCTCCCTGCTTAAATTAAACTACAATACCCAGGGGGCAATACAATTATATTATATTTTTTGTTTCTATATTATTATGCACATTATTTGCACTGTAAGGTCATGATACTACAAGGTGCAGTTAACAACAGCTGCTCTGCTGACCAATCAATTAATGACAGACATATTCCTAGTTGTGAAGGACTGGAGTTTTGTTGAACCAAATTCACACAACTGTCTTCCTCTGTAGCTTCTTCCCTCATGGAATTCCACTCTTGGCTCTGCTGGAACATTGTTTGTTTGCTCCCTTCAGAGGGGTTGTATTTGCCAACCTCTGGCCCTGATCTGCACCCAAGGTCACCAATGATGATGAAAAAAAAGAGATTGGTGTGGTTTGCATGGAATCAACTCAAAGGACAAAATGGGACCTATGCTAAGCCAAAAGAGACCTGTGAAATGGAGATTTCTCAGTGCTGTTATAAAGCATCTTTTTGCAGACAAAAGATCTTCCGCTTCTGTGGCAAAATCTCTAGATCAGTGGTTCTCAACCTTCCTAATGCCTTGACCCTTTAATACAGTTCCTCATGTTGTGGTAAAATTATTTTCGTTGCTACTTCATAACTGTAATTTCGCTACTGTTATGAATCGTAATGTAAATATCTGATATGCAGGATGTATTTTCATTGTTACAAATTGAACATAATTAAAGCATAGTGATTAATCACAAAAACAATATGTAATGATATATTGTGAAATATTTATTTCTAATTACAAATAAATGATATTTTGTCTTGAAGCATGGTGTAGCACGGGTAACAGTCTTAATATAAAAACAGTAAACTACATTGCTACATTTTTCGACGGTATGCGTAAAAAGCCAAAGTCAGTGCGAAGGCTGAGATTGCTTCTTTCTCACCAGATCAGAAATTCTCGGGGTAGTCTCTGCAAGAGCACAACGAAGATCATCTTCCACAACAAGTCTACTTCTGTATTTAGACTTGATAACCAACAAGCTGGAAAACCCTGTTTCACATAGATATGTTTTTGGAAATGGAAGAAGAAGGCGCAACACAGAACAGGATATGACTGCAAACACTTGATCCAGAATTTTGTAACTGGCATTGTAGAGAAATCTGTTCTTGCTGCATCACTGTTAATAAGTTCAATGAACTCCTCTTGTACTGTCTCAGGAACATCTTCAACTTTGACTGTGAATGGGCTTCTGGCAAGTGCAAATGGGTGTCAGGTAGATTTGGAAAATACGATGAAATTTCGTCTGCAAGCATGTGCAAGTGTTCTTTCACAGAAATTATCACCGTAATCCTTTTGTCTGGTTCAATGTCATGTTCCTCAAAGAAAGCAGATAAGGTAGGCAACATGTAAATTTTATTTTCATCCATTTTTTTCCGCCAAAGCTAAAGTTTCATTTGGAATGATCGGATCTTTTCAGACAAATCGAGGCATGTTGCATTTGGTCCTTGCAGTGATAAATTTAACTCATTCAAGATGGCAAAGATGTCAACCAAGTAAGCTATTTTCGGCAGTTCACTTTTATCGCTGAAATGTGCTTCAAGCTGCGGTCTTGCTTTCTGATTAAAAAACGTTTTGAGTTCATCACGCAGCTCAAACACACATTTTAAAATTTTTCCTCTCGACAACCATCTCACTTCAGTGTGAAATAGCAGAGCATTATTCGGCGCATCCAACTTGTTGCACAGTTGTGGAAACAGTCGACTGTTTAAAGTGCTCACCTTTACAAAATTGACAGAACTTATGACGCTTTTCATTACTTCTTGTAACTCTTGTGGCAGCGTCTTTGTTGCTAATATTTGCCAATGAATCATACAGTGAGTTCCGATGACTTTTGGTGACTCATTCAGTACCAAACATGGAAATCCAGATCAACATCCTAGCATAGCTGGAGCACCATCTGTGCAAACACCAAAAACCTCTGAAGTCCTAATCTCTATGAAAAAATGTTTAAGAGGCCTCACACTTGTTCAGTTATCCTATTTGAAATTTGCTTTGTCTTCAAAATTCTTGGCTTTTGCTTGATCATGATCACAACGTTTACGATTAATTACACATTTTCTGTGTTTGCAACCATTTATTATTTTAAAACTTAACATACTTTACATCACTACTGGCATAATGAAACTTGTTCTGCTTCTGAACTTAAATGAATTTTAACTGGTTTTGTATGTGAAATTGTCTTTTGTTATAAATTGGGAGTTTCTAAAAATTGTTTTATATATAGAACTGCTTTGGATTGTTTTGATAGTTCTCACTATCTTTCTTTATGTGTTTAATTGCTTCATTTGCTTTATAATTGTATATGTCATTGTTGCAACCCACTCTGGGACCATGTGGCAACGGACAGGTAAGAAATTGAATAAAATACATGCATGTTTTAAATGTTTGAAATAAATGATAATTTTAATTTTGCAATGTATAGAAATTATTAAACATTGCTGTACAAATATGCAAAATAGTTGTTCCAAATCAGTCCATGACATATTTACCTGAACAGAAAGGGGTAACAGCAAGCGTATGTGAAATCCTTTGTATAACCATTCAACAGAGAAAATGTGTGTGGGAAAATGCATTTCATTTCCCCCCCTGGGAAATACCATAGCTAGGATAATGCTATATGCATCAAAAATGTGCATAAAAGCATATTTGGGAAGTTTTTCTAAAAAGTGTAGAATCCAAAAGCATTTTAGATAAATATATATATATATATATTACTTAACTATTTTCTTCATTTAAAAGATAGAAACTAATTTGGTTACAGTACATCTGAGAATTGCATGTGTGTGTATGTGTGTGTGTGTGTGTGTGTGTGAGAGAGAGAGAGAGAGAGAGAGAGAGAGAGAGAGAGAGAATATCTATCTCTATCTATCTATCATCTATCTATTTATCTATCTATCATCTATCTATCTATCATCTATCTATCATCTATCATCTATCTATATCTCTATCATCTCTATCTCTATCTCTATCTCTATATCATCTATATCTATATCTATATCTATATCTATATCTATATCTATATCTAAATCTATCTATCTATCTATCTCTCTATCTATCTATCTATCTATATCTATCTATCATCTAAATGAATATTTGATGCTAGAGTTCTGCCCTTTCAGATATTGCTGGATATATTGAGTTGTATACAGAAGCCCATAATAAATAATCACAAGAAACTTATAACAGGGCATTGAGAATTTTCCTGGGGGACTTTTGTATGCGATACATCTCATCTTCCTGAGCATTTTGGAGTACGATATGATTGTGCTGTAATGAGTTTGAAGTTAAACCACAGATTTGCATGGATCGTGGTTCTACATTTTTGTTTATTGCAGTTAATCCACTTATCCCATCAGCACTATGATTTTATTTTATTTTATTTATACACAAGCATTTTAACATCTTTTCTATCCATATGGGGGAAGCTCCACTTGGATTAGCTGTTGCAATGAAGATGAAAACTACTTGGCCTTGACCTTTAAATTTCTGCTCTCCTCAAGTAGCTCTGAACAACAACTGGATTATTCAAAGCTTTATATATCCAGCATTACCCATCATATGTCACGGAGGCAAGCTGATCCTGCTGAATTCTTTCTTTCATGCAGGTAGGAATATAAGAGAAAAATGATTAGGTGTGCATTTAAAGGCAAAAGTTCATAACCATCACTTTCTGAAATGATCCATGAACACAGCCATCCTTCAAAATTTGCACTTTCCCAAATTTTGGAACGCATCCCCCACCAACGACATGTACAAAAATGTATATATGGGGGTAAAGTGTGCTTTGAAATGCAGATGTTACTGATAATAGCATGCAAAAATGCACTGCATTACGGGGAATTGTTTTGCAACAATCTGTACATTCAGCTAATTAACATACAGCAATTGGGCTATTTGGAGAACTCTGCAAGAAAATGCTGATTCATTTTCATAAGGATTGTATAAAAAATTAATAACTGAAATAAAAGGAATCATGAACAGATTAGGAAATGTGGGGAAATGAACTTGTAAAAATGAGAACAAACAGAAAATGAAATGGTCAGATATGCCCATCCCAAGATTTTTGGAATCTGAAGACTTTTCCATGCAGTCTCCCGACATAAAGTACTGTATTTTTTGCCCTATAAGACGCACCAGACCACAAGACGCACCTAGTTTTTGGAGGAGGAAAACAAGAAAAAAAATATTCTGAATCTCAGAAGCCAGAAACCAGAACAGCAACAGGGATCGCTGTGCAGTGAAAGCAGCAATCCCACTTGGTGTTCTGGCTTCTGGGATAGCTGCACAGCCTGCATTCGCTCCATAAGACGCACACACATTTCCCCTTACTTTTTAGGAGGGAAAAAGCGAGTCTTATAGAGCAAAAAATACGGTACATCTATTAGCATCCATTCCACCTGGCTGCAGCAGAGAGAGAAAACTGACTCCATCAGCACAGCTGATTCATCTGCTCTCTGACTTCTCCTCTCCTATAAATGTTCCTTATTAGTACTTTATTCCTTTATTTATCTGTGAATTTTTAAATCTGTATAGATATAGATAGATGATAGAGATAGAGATAGAGATAGAGATAGTGCAAGCTGGAGGACAGCATGTAAGGCTAAAACAATCCATTAAAAACAATTTAAAATATCAATAAATATCCATAAAGAATGATTGCTTAAAAGAAAAGTTGTCAATCAATTCGGGAGTAAAAGGGAAGGTGGGAGAAAGTTGAATTGATACTAAGCAGTTGGGCAAAATACAGCCTCTGTGCTTTTTCATATATCATCAGTAAATGGGCTAAAGGCGTCCTCTTTTATAAAATGAGAACTGAGTGCTCACAGAGAAGTTGATGACCCCCCCAGCCCCCCAAAGTCCCCTCTTTGACCACTGTCAAGCTGTGGGAGAAGGGCTACTCTCCCAGTATGTTCCATAATACAGTTCAGTTTCCTTCAGCGATTCCTTATTTTAGGAAAGGGATACCATGGAGTTTGAGAAAGGGCAGCAACAAAAGCAACACAAATGACCAAGGGATTAAATTCCCCTTACAAGGGAAGTCTTAGGAATGGGTGAATCTGAAAATCTGTTTCTCTCAGTTTCTCATTAGTCAAAGCTCATATTAAGTTCACCACATTTTCACATTTGTTAAAAAGTCCTCACCAGCATTTTAGGGTAAATTCCTCCTCGTAGGCTTGCTTGTTTGCATTTCCTCTAGTATAACACACTTTTGCATCTTATCTTCACAAACACACACCTTTTAATGAAATTTTGACCAAATATATGCATTTCTGTACATGTTACTCGGATGCAGAGCTGCATTGCAAAATTCAGAGAACTATGGCTGTGTTTTGCTTCATGTACTGTTTCAGAAAGCATGAATTAGGTAGATTTTCTTGTAAAGGGGAAAGGAATACCCCCTGCCCCATCCATAGTAAAGTCTAAAGCATGTTGTTATTTTAAGCTAAGGTCAGGTGTGGGGGAGCTGAACAAGTAATAATAGGGCCCATTATGAAACATATGGAAGAATAACAAATGAATCCCCAAAGGTCAAATTTTAATTCATTACTCATCTGTTTTATTTAACTCATTCATTTTCCCCATCAGTGACAGCCAGTCACGTGGAGGATGTAGGGAACAGGGAGACCTTTTTAGCTATCTTTCGTTCTAGTCCTAGGCACCAAATGCTGCACAAACAGAACAAAGGAAGATGGGGAGAAGGAGAAAAAACAGCCATGGGTTGTTGTTTTTTGGTAAAGGCTCTGCAAATTGATAGGAAGCCCAGTAAAGCTCCTGAATCGGGGGGGGGGGGGGGAGCCTAGGAATGCAAAGAGCTGTCTAGTCCACTAGTCCAGCTAGCAAAGGATTGTCTATGCAGCCGTTTTCCAGGATTTCAGACAGGGTTCTCTCCCAGCCCTCCCTGGAGATGCCAGAGATTAACTGAGGGTCTTGTGCATGCAAAACAGATGTTCTACCATTGAGCTAAGGCCCTTCCCCTAAACAAAACCATATCCCCCTTGAGCAGAGGTGCAGAACTTGTGGCCCTCCAAATGTTCCACAATCTTTGCCAATTGGCTGTGCTGATGGGCGTTGGAGTCAGAGGGCTACATGTTCTGCTGGGAAGCCACTGTGAGAACAATATATTTGCACAGATGAGCCTTTGGTTTGATGTAGCAGTGCTTCTCTTATGTTGACCCCTCCTAGAGCTCTAGAGAACCTCCTTTGCCGACCCTAAGACGGAAACATAGACTAATATAGACTTTACAAGCTATATTTCTACCCTAGCTCCTCTAAACCTGAGCCAATTCATATGTTTTGGACTACAAGTCCCATCAGCTGAAGCCAGCATGGCCAATGGTGAGGGATGTTGGGAGATGTAGTCCATAATAACAGGCTAAATAAGGTTTCCTTACCCTGTTGTTTCTTGATCTCTTTAGACAGTGAGCTTTTTCACAAGACTGCAAATATTTTCACCTAGGTGCTTCAGCTGCTCAGTACAATTGTAGTAGTTTAAACTATGGTTGCTCACCATATTTTCACAGACTGCCCTAGACCTAGAATCAGTCAAGCTGGTGGCTACTGAGAGGATCTCTACAGTGGTACCTCAGGTTAAGTACTTAATTTGTTCTGGAGGTCTTTACTTAACCTGAAACTGTTCTTAACCTGAAGCACCACTTTAGCTAATGGGGCCTCCTGCTGCTGCCACCACGCCGCCGGAGCACAATTTCTGTTCTCATCCTGAAGCAAAGTTCTTAACCTGAAGCACTATTTCTGGTTTAGTGGAGTATGTAACCTGAAGCATATGCAACCTGAAGCGTATGTAACCCAAGGTACCACTGCACAGTAATGTTAAGAAGCTTGTCTGTTTTTTTAAAGCAGCATTTTGGCTCCATTGCAAACAATGAGAAACACCCCCACAATTCAGTTGTGTCACCTAAAGCTATATGTAGTCCTCCCCCACTCCATATTTATCCATCAGCCTTTATCAGATGTTATGCACAATGAAATATTTGGTGAGACTCACAATGATTTATCAACACTAAAGGGGGAGGGGAATCGCCCAGTTTCTCGGCACAGAATAATATTGTGGTGGTAGGAGGAGGAGAAAAATCCTTTGAGCATAAACAGATTGCACTATTTATACATGAAAACATTTTTTTGCATCTATAAGCATACCCTGTCCAAGTCTTTTAATTAATTGCAGCAGTTGCTATGGTAACTCTCATAATTCGATTACATATCTGCAAGGCGTGTGTATTTATGACCACATGAAAACATGCTGAATTAGATTCAAAATAAGATAACCTTGCACTGGAGTTATTTGGGAGCCTAGTGTCCATCACTTGGTCAATTGATGCCTCCTAATTGTAACAGTAATGTCAAGTAGGGACAATTCCGGCATAGTGAGTGAAGCCTACACAGCATTAGACGCCACCATTACTTGTTGAAAGGTGGAGAGAATAAGAACATCACAAAGTCACATGGCAGTGCTGAAGGGAACAGACCCCATTTATTGAGGAGGAAAAATAAGTAATTAGGTTTTAGGGCATTTTGGGGTGTGTGGGTGTGTGTGAAGAGGTCTCCCTTCTCATTCACCTCTACTCTCAGCAATTTGGGAGTGAGACAAGCAAAACTCGCCCTTGGGTTCAGGGCTCTTTGCTCCATTTTGAAAGTGGTGGAATAGTTTCTCTGCACTAGAGGCTAGCATTTTCTGCAGAAACACTGGGGTTGGGGTTGAGACCCACAGGCCTATAGCCAGACCCTTTATCCCCAGGCAACATCCCTCTATCTCAGGCATAGGCAAACTTGGCCCTGCAGATGTTTTGGGACTACAATCCCTGACCACTGGTCTTTTTTTGCCAGAGCTTTTGCCAGACTGGAATGCCTCTTGCTTGCATGGGTGAAGGATACAGAGTTGGAAACCTCTGATTTTTACATGGCTGGAATGTAGCCCATTGTACAAAGGTGAGATTTACATCCATTTGTCTACCTGCTTTCTTCAATTCCCCTATCTCTAGCATGCAGCTCCCTGAAGGATGCAGTTGAGAAATGTGGCCCTTTGGCTGGACAATGGTCCCAAACCTACCCCAGGAGAACAGCATTAGTTAACTTCTTTAATTTTGTGCATCTAAATTTCACTTTTCCTCTAAGGAGCTCAATGTTATATATATGGTTCTTTCTTTATGGCACTCTCCGGGTCACTGTCAGATGAATGAGGAACTCTGCTGTGGAAGTAGCAAACACACATATATTTTAAAGAAGTACATAAAAAGAGAGAAACATCCTTCTGCTGACACAAGGAAGTAAGAAGCCTCAAACCTTGGGTGTCCAACATGCAGTACACAGCCTCAAGGGAAGGACGTTGTGAGGTTTTCAGGTAATGCAGGCACCCAAGAAGGCTGCAGAGTGCAGACCATCAGAGAGATGATTTGCAGAATGAGAAAGGGGACCTGTGAGCCCAGCGCTGTCTTTAGCATATGCACCGCTGGGGTGCAAAGATCCACTCAGCGCCCCCAAATTTAGTTTTGCCCCCCAATTAACTTTTATTATGCTTATGTCAGATACCACACTTACGCCTTATCTCTTGTTTACGAAAGAAGGGGGGGGGAGAAACCAACTTTTTTATTTGCTCATTTATTTACAATATAAGTATACAACACCACCACACTTAAACTTGTAAGTATTGTTTAGGTGCCTACTTAGGAGAAACATCAGTCGTGTCAAAGGTGCCGCTGACTCTGCTGCCGCATAGCAGCTCAATACAATACGTAACATAATATTTTGATGTAAGAGTTAATTTCGGGTGCACAGTGCCATTGTGAATGACAAGCGCTGCCTGGCGTGGCGTGTCTTTGGTAAATGAGCGCACAAAGTTGAAAGCCCTTTAGTGAAACAGTAAGCATACATTTCGGTAATGCCTAGGTATATATGTATTTTGTTTTTTTAGGTAGATCAAAATTATTTATTATTTCATAACAGGTAGAGAATTAAGAGCTTAGCTGGCTTCAGCAGTGGGCGCCTGGCGCCCCCCAGAATTCGGCACCCTGGTGACCCGCACCCCTTGCACCCGCAGGTAAAGACGGCCCTGTCCAAGCCAATTCAATGGTTACTTACTTAAGCACAAAAAGCCCAACAATCAGTTTTTCACCCCCAAAATTCTCTGCCCTTTCATAATTTATTAATCCAAACTCATTAATTGATTTAAAAAACAACATGGGAAGAATTTCTTGGCACAGCACTAGAACTTTTATGGAAACCCGCAAAAGAAAATATATATTAAAAGATACAGCTACTTTCTGGTTCCCTATTGTACAGTGACAGTTGTTGAGGTGTCTCCAATATCCACTATTTTCAATGGGTCTGCTCCGAGTAGAACTAGCATTGCATCCTTTCCAATGAAGTGCAATCTGACTTCTGCCTAAAGAGAACGCCTTGTGTTTTCTTTGGCACGATCTACCTTGAACATATTCTTGTACTTTCATGGGATGATTTGACAGTCAACTTCCAACTGCTGGAAAACATACATCAGTTTGTTCAGAATAATAGCATCAGTGCTCTAGCAGAACACTTGTGGCACACCATCTCAATCATGCCATGTTTTGACTTTTGATAAACAGTAAGAAATCAAAAAGTTTGACAAACAGTTGAAATGGTTTTAAGCAATAAATGCTTGTATGGGAAGTTAAATTACCACCTCTTTTTTTCCAATAGAAAAGCTTGATGTTGATAGAAAATTCATCAGAACTTTCTTCTGTTTTCTAAATGGTTTTCTTTTTAAAGCAAAGAATCTGCACTCTTTGGGGAGGGGGTGAATCTTGAATTCTAAGCATTTAAAAGTGGAGCTGTGATTCTCCCCGCCTCCATCAGTCTCCAGTCATAAGGCTGACTGATTAGCAGCCTTCAGAGAATGTCAGCTCACAGTTGTTATTTAACTGCAAGTTAAGGGGCTTTTGTGACTGAATGTCCTCCCCACCTTAAAATATACAATGTATAGTAAAACAAAACAAAGTACTTTTACTTCAGTAATAGCCTGACCGGGAGAAACTTTTGGTCTAGTCTTCAGTCAATCAATGTGTTGAGCTTTAAAAAATAAATGGGATAATTGTAGCTTTTCAGAAAAAAAGTAACCCATTAGGGATGGATGGCTGCTTCAGTTTCACTTTTCTCATTCTAACTTTTCCAATCTTAAATTCAGTTCTCCACAATTCTAAAGCTATATGCATTAAGAAAAAGAAAAAATCCCCAATAAATTTATCAGTGTGAATTTCTCCTAATGAACTTATTTTTCTATGCAGCTTTGAGTAGTATACATAGTTTCTTAAGCAGGTTCCCCTAATTTAATGCATTTCTGTATGATATTTTCACAAATTTATTCATTTTATGCACATCTTATCCCAGTGTATGCATTTTCATATTGGTTGGAGAACTGCATTGCAAAATTTGGAGAAATGTGAATTTCAAAAGGTGCCTATATTTAGGTTTCCATTTCCCTCCCCCAGAAAGGGCAGATTAGGCAGTTTCACATTAAAATGCGCACTGAATCAAATTTATTCCCCATCCTTACCTCCTCCATCTGCAGCCCAAAGTGGAACAGTCCTGGACCTGCAGTGTTTGTCTCATACTAAAGGTTACAAGCATTCTGAGTTGCTAAGGCTCTTGTTCTCAATCAGGATTTCTCCAGCCTTGGTGACACCACTAGCAAAATTAAAAAGGGATCAGGGGCATTGAGAGAAGCATGCATGCAGCAGGAATTCAAGCTGTTAATTAATCACTAAAGGTTATAATCAGAACTATGAGCTTCAACCAAGAACTATGAGTTTTGACTGTACGATAGCACTTCTCCTCCCTCTCATCTCCTTTTGTGCCCCATTATCCCCTAAATATCTTCTGAGGGTTCCCTCAATATTTTACAGCACATGGGGGGTGCAAGGCAGAGGAGAGGGAGGGGAAGTTCCCTTGAACTAGCAAGACATACTTCATTAGATGTTGCCCATTGAATTTAATGGACCTAAGTTAACAAGGTCCATTGATTTCCATTGTGAAACTCTTGGTTGACTGCAACTCCATATTTCCCTTAATGCTGCAGCTTCTGAAGGTCTGAGGGTCGCTGCTTAAACTTTTTAAGGTTCATCCTGCTCCTGTACCTATAACCTTTAAGTAAAGATGCTGAAATTTCAGTATGTGACCTTGGAGGACGGGGGAATAAAAAATGTGGCTTCTTCTCAAGACACTTTCGGATATACCTAGCATTTCATCTCGCTGAGGAAAGAAAAGGGCAGATAATGGAAACACCTGGATCTTTTGGCATGTTGAAAGAGTGGGGAGGGAAATAAGATATGCACAAGCGTGAGTGAAAGCTGCACCTGAGACACACAGCAATAAACGCAGAGGGCGAGAAGGAACGAAATGTCAGGGAAATGTTCCTGCAAATGGTGCTTATGAAATGAGGTAGACAAAGCAATGTCAGTTATGATCAAACAAAAACTGGCATAAATGTACAGATGTCGCCAAAGTAGTAATTATTACTGGTTTTGGAATGAGTCCTATTGCCCTGAGTTGAAATTAGGCTTTAGGATGGAAAGAGAAACCAGGCATTCCCAGAAGCTTTCCCAAAAGCTTCTCTTGAAAGGAAGAACAAAGGCCTGGAGAAGAACCTTGCAAAATGTTAAAGCTCTTCCCTTTTTTCTACAGTCAGTAGTTATTCACATGCCATGTTCGCTTTAATTCAAGATCAGTAGCACGCCTTGTGAGGCTTGCTCATCCTTCTTACACGTGAGACTCACCTTGTCCCTACTGGAGTCTATTTAAGTCTCCACACCTGTTAAACCATCTTGAAAGCTAACAAGACAGGAGAAGAGAACCTTTGTGAGTACGATAAGACAGATATTATTCAAAGTCATAACTGGGAAGATATCAGGCTTTTGCCTCCTTGTTTGTTCATTTAGAACAGGGGTGGGGAAATTCAGGTCCAGGTGCTAAATATAGCCTCTTGTCCAGGCTAAACATGCCCAACTCCCTCAACTGTTCCTCATAAGGCTT